AGTGAAGTTACTAGGTCATATGGTAATTGTGTTTAATATTTTGAAGACCTTCCAAACTGTTTTCCAGTGGCAGTACCATTTGACATTCCCACCAGCAGTGTCTGAGGGTTCTAATTTTTCCAAAGTCTGCCAGAAATTGTTACTATTTTTGATCATTCTGTGCAATTTTATCATGTATTCATCACCATTGTCAAGATAATAAATAGTTCCCTCCCCACGAAGCTCCCTCATGTTTCTCTTTCATAATCATTCTCCCTTCTCTTTACAGACTTTGCCATTTAAAAACTGTTTTCCATTTTACAGTCTCACCAGCCATTTTTATGTATTTCAGTTGCTCTCCAACCTCAACAGACTTTGGTGTTTTCACTCTGTTGTTTATTTTTAAAGCTTTGTTCATTTTATCTTTCTCTGTGCAAACTTTCACAAATTTACTATTTCCCTTCCAGGTACTATTTCCCTTCCTGAAAAAGTTAAAGATATCATATGAGAGTGATATATGCACATCAGTGTTTAAAGCACCACAATTCATAATAGCTAAATCTTGGAAGTAGTCCATGTGTCCATCACCAGATGAATGGATAAAAAAATGTGATATTGACAAACAATGGAGTATTACTCAGCCATAAAGAAATACAAACTTGAATCATTTGTAGAAAAATGGATGCACTTTGAGACCATAATATTCAATGAAATAAATCAGACCCACAAGCTTAAGTACCACATGGTTTATGTTATATGATAAAGTAAGAGTAAAAATAAAAACTGAAATAAAAGATAGATAATAGGAAGTAGGGAGATAGATTTTTGTTAAAGGGGGAGGAAAGCAAGAGATAGGGGGTTGAAAATGGAGCTAAAGTATGTTATGTACATATACCAGCATCCCACAACGAATGTAAACATTATGCACTACACACATGTACTAATAAACTAAACTAAAAAAAAAAAGCCCCCTGATCTGGGTATGGTGGTACACACTTACCATCCAAGCATGCTGGAGACTGAGGTGAGAAGATTGGAAATTTGAGCCCAGCCTAGGCAACTTAGCAACTGAGCAAGACTCTGTGTCAACATTTTTAAAAAGTTTGGGAAAGTAACTCAGTGGTAGGGCTCTCCAGGTATACTAGCTACTACCACCCATCCCCCATGTCTTAGTTACTTTTCTCTGGATGCTGAGACAAAATACCTGACATCCAAAGTTAAAGGGGGGAAGATTTATTTAGCTCACAGTTTGTAGAGGTTTCCATCCATACTTGGCTGGCTCCAAGGCAGGATGGCATCGCAGAGGAGAAGTTCATGGCAAGGAGGAGACAGCAAAAGCAACAAGAGACCTTAACAGCATCTTTTTGCCCCTTTTATCTTATCCAGACTACTTCATGTGGGTAGCACTCACACCCTTCATCCTAGTGCCCTTGAGCCTAGCATTGCATCATGAATCAATCACACACTCTAGATTCAGCTACCTTTGGAAAAAGCCCCACCTATGACTGTATGAGGCTTTTGGGGGCCATCTAAACACAAGCCATAACACCCCACAAAGCTCTTTATGTTTTCACATGTAGTAGTGATCTTTATGATTAGGAAAATCTTTTTCACTCATATTATCAAAATGATTTTTTATATTTTCTTCTAATAATTTGACAAAGAGGTGTGATCATTGATTGTGATATGTCAACTTGATTTGAGAAAGAACTACCTAGCAGATTAGTAAATTCTCAGTGTGTCTGTGGATAAGTGACATGTAGACTGCAAACAGAGAGGAAGACCCACCCCAGAAGTGAAGGGCACTAACCAATAGGTTTGTAGCCCAGCCACTTCTAGCCTGGACCAAATGAAAAAGGAAAGAAGGAAAGTCTTCCCCTTTTCTTCAGAGGAGCACAGGTCTTTGCCACTGCCTTTGGATGTTAGTCTCCAGTTCCTTCAGTCTTCCAGTGCAGACTCTGGCTTTCTGACACAGACTTGCACAGATGACTCTGCAGTGAGCTTCCAGGCTTTTGACGTTTGACTGATTCTGGATCCTCTGGTTCTCCAGTGGGCAGAGAGCCATTCTGGGTTCTTCCATGTATGATCTGGCAGATGGCTGTTAGGACTCTTCCAGTTCTGACCCTGTAAACCTACCTCATAAATCCCTATGTAATCATAATACGGTTTTTTATTGAATCTGTTCTTCTAGAAAACCCTAACTAATACATGAGGCAAGGTAGGATGGAGTAGATAAGAATGATTTGAAATACAGTATGTAGTGAGATCTGCTCTGTTCCAGACCTGGCTCCATCACTTGCTACTGTGCCCATTTTGGTTGACATATACCTTTAAACTTTCCTCTTTTCTTGGCTGATGTCTGCTGTCTGTCAACTGTATCAACTGTATCTATTTTTCATACTGTTTTCATCCTGGTCAATCTCTGCTGAAAGTTCTCCAGTTTGATATGATCTCAAAAAGACATACCCAGACTGATTCCACTCTAGGTAAGTTTTTGATGATACAGAGAAAAGAGGTCTACCCTGAGCCCTTTGCACACTATTAATGTTAGGAAATATTGCCGTGATGTCAGAAGCAATCTTGTTGACACCTTTACCAGCGTTACATTTATGGAAGCAAAAATCATCATTTTTACATGAACTACTATTAATTGAATGAAGTCTCTCCTATTCTACATTTCTGCATGCAATTTAATGATCATTACCTATTGCTTTAATACATAGTGACTCTATATTTCCTATTAATGCTTTTCACCTTAAAGTGTATTTTGTCTTGTAAAAATTTTGCTATATTAAAAATTTTCTAAGAATTTTTCCTGCATATCTTTTATTTTTATTTTTAATTTCCAATATTGTTTTATCTTAAGGTTGTTTCTTGTATTATATAGCATATAGCTGGATTTGTTTTTTGGTACCGGGGATTGAACTCGGGACCTTGCGCTTGAGAGGCAGGCACCGGAACCACTGAGCTGAATCCCCAGCCCTATAGCTGGACTTTTAAAAGTTCTGTTGATACTCTAACTTTTAATAGATGAATTTAGTCATTCATGTATCTTTGTTAAAAACTAATACAATTGGAATTATTTATTCCCCATGTTTTGTTCCTTTATCACTCCTTTCTTCTTTCTTGTTTTCTGTTTGATTTTTAAAATTCTTAGTATCTTCTCCCATTTATAAATTCTGTTATTTCTGGTTTTTAAGTGCTTATCCTTAAAAATTTTCACAATCCTATCTTATATTTTTCTTCTTCTCCTTCTCCTTCTTCTTCTTCATTTTTTTTTGGTTCCAGAGATTGAACTCGGGACCTTTCACTTGCGAGGCAGGCAGCGGAACCACTGAGCTAAATCCCTGACCCTATTATTAGTATTATTAATGTGTATTAATTGTATAAATTAATGTTCTATTGTGACATTTTCATACATGTATACATTATGAATTAACCATGTCCAGCCCCCCTTATACCACTTTTTCCCTACCCAATTCCCCCTTCTCTCCCCTTCTTAACTTTTTTAAAGCCTAAATTTATTTAATATCTTTATCCTATTTCCATTCTATATTACTTCTGTTCTCTTTGGCCTTAGGCAGAGCTTTATATATTTCTAATGAAGATTAACCCAATAATTCTGCTGACATGTTGAGTGATCTTGAGGCTCTGTTACAGTGCTCTAAGTGATTCTGTTTTGTGCTATCTTCAATTTTAATAAGCATGAATCTATCAGAGTCATTAATTTAAAAAAATTAAATAGAATTAGGTTCTAGGTTCTGTGTTTTCCATTTAGAAACTCCATCTTTTGGAGAGGGAAGGTCAAAAGTCAAACATAAAAATCTACTTCCCTACATACCATCAATCTTGCCTATGACCAGCTTTTTTACTTTCTTGACTATTACAAGTCAATTTCATCACTTTCCCCCTAAAGTTCCTATCTGTTCTACTCCATCATTCAAGGGTGACTGTTGATTAAAATTAATTGAGGAAAAGCTACTCCCCGGTTGCTTCCTCAGCCTCTGAGTGATGAAATTGTCAACAATACAAGGCAGGAATCAATCAGATTCTTGTTAAATGAGACTGCAGGGTAATGTCTAGATAGGAGCTGAGTAGCTGTGTAGCCATGATGGGGTAAGGATAGGGAGAACAAAGGGACAAAAAAAAAATACACCTGTGTTTTCCAGTGTGATGTGGTATAATTATGCCAGCTGGGAGGCTATAAACCTGGGTTCTAGCTTCAGCTCTGCTGCTAATATTATTACAGTCCAGGAATGGAAAATATTGTACATTAGAACACATGCAGATGTTAGACGATTGTTTAGTTACCTTGGAGATTTTCCTTTAGCTTCTCACCCACCCATTTGCGTATTAATACCTTGAAATCTCTTTTGTCTCTTTCACCAAAACTATTTCTTTCCCCTTGATGGAAATACTACGGCCTGTTTTTTGTTTTCATTCCAGGGACCTCTATTTTGTATTAAGTGTCACAAATCTTCTGCCTTTTTCCCTTTTCCACTTCCCTATCACTGCATTGTCTTGATGTCCCCTCTCTCTTCCTTTGCTGCTGTCACTTGTTATTTCCCCCTGATACTTAAGTGCTTCTCTCCTCCTCTAACCAGAGGCACAGCACAGATTTCCTGCTAGATGTCTTTCTTTGGCTCTTTAAAACTTAATGTACCTGGCTGGGGATTTAGCTCAATGGTTCTGCTGCCTTCCCCCGCAAGCGCAAGGACCTGAGTTCGATCCCCAGTACCAAAAAAAAAAAAAATTTCAATAACTTAATGTGCTCCACATTGAATTCTTCACATTATTTGGAAGATTTAATCCTTAGTGTCACCATTCCTATTAATTGTACTATGAGTTTTTCATTGACACTGGCTCAAGATCCTGAAACCTATCTAGAGTTGAATGCAGAGCTATTTTTTCCCTTAAATTCTTTTATTGGTACACATTAGGTATACAATATATTTATCATTGGGTGCTTGTACCTGTACATGATGTATCTTGGTTCTTATTTTTTCGCCATTCCCTGTCCTCCCTTCACCCCCTCTGCAGAACTATTTTTAAATTAATTAAATATCTACGAGTACACATTAGTGATGCCAGGGTCTATGCTTTTTCATTAACTACCTAAGGGTCTGGAGGATTAGAATGAGAGCATCATATAACCAGGGCTGCAGTAATCAGGAACATGTGTTCTGGTACCTCAGAGAAGGGAAGGAAGGGAAGGCAATGAATGTTCATGGAGGACCTTGTAGGTGCCATTTCCTGCACTAGGCTCTTCACATATATCTCAGTTGAAGCTTAAGACAGTTAGAGGTAGACATTACAGTCAAGGAAACATAAGCACAGTGATGTCATGGGCATATGACTATATAATAAATACCAGAAGCAGGACTCAAGTTGGAACTGTTAGTTTTCCAGATCACCACATTGCTCTTAGGTTGTCGAAGAGAAATTGATATGTGAATTAATAATTTAAGGATAAACTTTTCCCAATAGTTAATATGTAGAAAAATATTACTAGCATTGAAGATAGAATGTAAAATGTTACAGAGGTATGGAAGAGTATGCTTTAGAGTTTTAAGTGAAAAGGAAGAGGAGGAGGAAGTTGAGGGAGAAAGATGATGTATTAGATGTCATACATTTGGAGTATTAGGCATTTATAGGTTACCACATTGTTGGTGAGTGAATGGTTGGAATGGTCATATTCCACAAAATATTTCTACCCTCATGCACTCTAGTTTCCAATATTTGACAGCAAACATGGAGTTACTGAAGGAGGGAAGTACAAAATTGACTCCTTTCTTCCTTTCCCTCCACTTTAATCCTGCTGTCATTACAAAGAACTAAATGCAGCTTGATGCCCCCAATTTGATTATTGAACTGTAAGGTGTTCAGGGAAAGGGACCATGTCTAATCTCCTCTGTGTATCACCTCAGAACTGTAGCTCCAGATCCTATGCATTCCATTTGCTTAAGTGACTATTTGAGAGCTTGGTTGTGTTGAATATGTGTGGTGACCTGCTTAAGGTGAATCGCCCAGGTTGGCAGGTAATTTATGATTCCTATTTGTTGCTAGTGATTTTAATTGTGTGTATATTCCTATAAATATTCTATATGGACTCAGAAAATTTTGCAAGTACATGGAAGATTGTCTATCTATCTATCTATCTATCTATCTATCTATCTATCTATCTCATGAAAACAAACAGAAAGGAAGAGAATCCTTAGCACTGGATTGTTTGTTACATTTTCTGTCACAAGTCAGGTTACAACTCCTGATGTTTCTGGCTTCCTGAGGTCTGAGCAATTTCATTATTGAGTTGTGGATGTAAAGAAGGGATGAGTATATGATGAGAGGCTTCTTATCTGATATGATAGGACTGGTAGTTGTTTTAATGTTAAGATTGGTTAAGATAGCAATGTAAAAATATATACATACATAGCCCACAAATTTTATTTCAGTCTAAATACTTGTGAATGTATATCCTTTCCCAATACTTTGATATAGGGTCAAGGCTTTAGATAGGCATTTTATACACATTGCCAACATTGCCTATTTTCTTTCTTGAGATGGAGGGAAAGCTTGGACCTTTGTTAAGTAATCTGTACACAGAACCCTTCTAGACTTTTATAATCAGTTTCCCAGCCTTTTACAACTCATCCCCACCTAATTAAGCTCAACTTTGGAATCTTTCCAAACTATTCAACCTAATTCTTAGAGGATTACTATTTTTATACAATTTAGTTATATAATTTCAATTACATATAAAACTGTTAACAACAGGCTATGAAACAAATTCAACATACTCTTGTAGGCACAAAATACAACTGGTTGTTACAGAAGCATAAGGGCTTCTCCAAGTGGCCCAGTAGTCATGTGCCTGGATTGTTCCCCAGGCATAAACCCCTTGTTCAGTACAGGAAACAGTGGCTGTTGGTTAATGTGGTGGTTTGATTACTAGAGAACTATTACAAGAGCATTGACTATATGTTTTACATAGCTCTTCAATCTTGTATTTTTCAGCTTTATCAAGGTATAATTGTACAACTGAAAATAAAAATCGTATATATTTAAGAAGTACTATATATATATGTATGTGTGTGTATGTACATGTGTGTAGAAATATTTACCACAATGAAGCTAATTAACATATCAATCACTTCATATAGTTAGTTATGTTTGTTGGAGGGGTGCTGAGAACAATTAGATCTACTCTTTTAGTAAATTTGAATATACAAAACTGTCTTGTTAATTATAGTTGATATAGTGTATATTATGGATCTCTAGAGTTTATGCATCCTGTATATTGTAAACTTTGAACCCTTTGAACATTTCTTCATTTTTTCCCAACCTCAGTTCCTAATAATTACCATACTACTATCTGTTCAACTTTTTTAGAGTCTACATATGTGAGATCATGAAGGATTTATTTTTCAGTGCCTGGTTTATTTCAATTAACACAATGTCCTCTAGGTTCATTCATATTGTCACAATTGACAAGTTTTCCTTCTTTCATAAGGCTGTATAGAATTCCATTATGTTTTTATACCACATTTTATCAAGCATTTGTTGATGACACTTAGGGTTTTTCATTTATTGACTATTGTGAATGTTGCTGCAGTGAACAAAGGAGAAGAAACAACCTATAGACTGGGAAAAATATTTGTAAAACATATGTTTGACTAAGTGTTAATATCCAAAATATATAAGGAAATCAAACAAGTCAATAACAGGAAAACAATATGATTATAAAAATGGGCAAAGGGCTTGAATAGACATTTGTCAAAATAAGACATCCAGTAGGCCAACAGAGGAATATGAAAAGTGCATTGCTAGTCATTAGGGAAATACAAATTAAAATCACAATAAGATATTACTTCACATCTGTTATAATAGTTATTATTAAAAAGGTAAAAGATAACATATACTGGTAAGAATGTGGAGACAAGGGCCGAGGATTTAGCTCAGTGGTTCCACCGCCTCCTGCCTTGCAAGCACAAGGTCCCGAGTTTGATCCCTGGTACAAAAAAAAAAAAAAGAATATGGAGACAAGCAAATGTTTGTATATAATTTGGTGGGAATATAAATTGATACGAACACCAGTGAAAACAGTATGGAGGGTGTGTTAGTTACTTTTCTATTGCCGGAACAAAATAATCTGACATACAAAACTTAAAAGAGAAAAGAATGTATTTCAGCTCATGGTTTCAGAGGCTTCAGTCCATGGTCAGCTGTCTCTGAGGCAGAAATATGGCAAAAGGGCATGGTAGAGGGAAGCAACTGACCACACGTGCCAGGGAACAGAAGTAGCAAGAAAGGCTAGAGAGAAAGGAAGGGTCTGGAGGAAGAGAAAGATTATACCCTTCCAGGTTATGTCCCCCAGTGACCTATTTCCTCCAAACAAGTCCCATTCTTAACAATCCATCAAGCTAATGAACTCATTAATACATCAGTCCATTGATGAGGTTAGTGTCTTCATGATCCAATCACATTCTGAAAGTCCCACATCTGAACACATGAGACTTTTAGGAGACATTTTACATCTGAACCATAACAGAGGCACTTCAAAAAGTTAAAAATAGAACTACCATATGATTGAGTAATCTTATTTCTGGAATATGGCTGTCATGGTTGGATCATGAATGTCCTCCCAAAACTCATGTGTTGAAAGATGATGGTGCTCTTGAGAAGTGATGAAACTCAAGGAGATGGTGTCTAGTTGGAAGAATTAGGTCACTGAAGTGAGCCTTTGAAATGTATATTTTGTCCGGAGCTGCTGCATCTCACATGTTCTCTCTCTTTGTTTCCTAATCACCATGAAGTGAGCAGCTTTCCTCTGCTTTCCCCTTGGAGCCTAGTGACCATGGAATGAAATCTCTGAAATGTGAGCCAAAATAAATCTTTCCTACTTTAAGTTGAGTTCCTCAGGTATTTTGTCACAGGAATAAAAAGCTAACACAATATCTAAAAGGAGTGAATCCAGAGATATTTCTAACCCTTTTGCATCTTCTGCTCAAAATGTCCAAAGCTAATTTTTATCTAATTCTTAATATGTTGATTAAGGATACAGGTTAGTTGATTTTCTTCCCTTCGTTTGTATATCCTGCTTATGAATTGAGACTTCTAAGATAATCTTGAACAAATCTTTTTCATTGTCATTACAGGTAACAAATACTGTATTATCAACATGGGAGGTATTATGTAAGATGTTGAGAGTGTAGAATATGAATTGTGGAATCTAGTTGGAGAGAAAGGATGTGGATATGTATATACACATGTGTGGAAAAGTAAGAGTATGGACTAATAGATGCAAACTACAAAATAAGTTGTATTGAGAGAAAAGGCATAGGAATTCAGCCAGATTGAATGCTACAGTCCTAATAAGTGGCATATTTGAACATAGGTTAATTAACTACATTTGAATAGGGTCTTTCCTATAGGGGAATTTACAAGTCACTGGGTGGAAGAAGATGCAAAGATGGTTGTGTGTATTGGCAAAAGCCTAACCGCAGTGTCAGAAGTCAGTGTTCCATATATATATATATATATATATATATATATATATATATATATATATATGCACATGAGCCCAAGTGGTGCGAACATCTGTTCTGTCATGGGGTTCTGGGAAGAATAATGTTAAGATACCAGAGTAGGCAGGTGAGGTGGTCAAACAAGACCAGGGTCAAGTCACAAAATGTAACTTAGCCCCATGTATTGCCCACATTGAGCATTCTTGACATTAGACACTTTACAAACGAAGAGAGGTTTGATTTGTGTTTTGGAATTATAAAATGGCAAAGACTCTCCCTTCTCCTTTCTCCCACCCTTATTTCTGGGAAATGAAATTTTTACAATCTGAACTATTTCTTCAGGGATGCTTGTGATGAATGAAGATGTGACTTCTTTTGAACTTGACTGCTTGGACAACTGTCTTGTTTAGGGAGAAGTTTAGAGGACCTGTGGGTAGACTCAAAGTTACAAAGTTCTCTACCAGTTGCATGAGTCCGCTGAGAAAAAGCACTTGCACAATGAGTTAGGCAGAGCAGATTTTTTACTCAGTGATAGATACAAATGATAAAAGCTTAGGATTCATGGTGAGCCATTTCTTTGAGGCCCAGAAAAGCTGCCTATGCCAGGTGGGGTCTCATCTGCACATGCATGTATTATAGTGCAGCTGAGAGACCCCCAAAGCACCCCACCCTTGGTTTATACATGCTGGGTACAACTTGGCCTGCTGACCACACGGATTTCAGAACATCCTGCTCTAGCAGGGACACATAGCTTATGTTGTCCCAGACATTTCTTTTTTTATATTAGAGTATTGCTCTCTCAGTATATTCTTCCCCAGAATGCATGCAAGAGGGGGAAAAGCTAGGTTGGCCAAGGCCACCCAAGGACCTGTCTTCCTGCAAGAGTGTCACCTGAAAAGAATTTATGTCATCCTCAACAGGCTTGTTCTCTGGTAAGTCAATCCATGACTATTGTGCATTAAAATATAGCTAGTCTACCCTACCTCAGAAGCAAGCAAAAGCTTTTTTGTGAGCTTATTTTCTCCTAAGACCAAACAGTCATATAATATTGTGATAGCTAGTTTATCTTATTTAGAATAGTATGTAACTAATACTAGAAATGAAACTTATTTTTATCTAGGTCTCATTGATTCATCTACATTTTCTCTGATTTATTTTATGTTTCAAACCAAATCAAAAACTGAAGATCTAAGTTTAATGAGAGTGGTGTTATTTCAAAAGTGAAACAACCATCGCAGTAGTCAGTGGAAAGTGCTGTCACACAGAGTGATGGCTGGTTTCTTCTTTTTGCATTTCTTGTGAAGGTAACCACAGAAGGACTATTAGGAAATTCACATGTTTTAGGAAAGATTTGCAGTCAGGCCTGAGATTAGAGTCTGGTGAAGGTACATTAAGGATCATATTTCCATGTGGCAGTCTGTTGTGTTGTTTCTTTTTTTGCACCATCTATAAATTTCCATTTTAGCCATTACATGCATTCTACATCTTTTTGTGATCTGTTTGCCCTGTGTGAATACAAGTCTACAACTTTTCATAGACGCATCCATAATGTTTAGAACAGAATCTGCACACAGAAGATGCTGAGTAAATACCTGTGGGAGGAATATATGGTCTTTAATTTTGTCTTTTGTTTATTTTCATCAACCAAATGTTAGAAAAAAGGTCAAGAAGACAGTCATGGATGGGGAAAGGGTTAGGTGAAATCCCCCAGTAATGGCAAAACAGACCTTCCTAGGTCCTGGGATACCGAACAGGTTATCAAAGGTAGATCAGCAGGAATCTGTTATCAGAACCAAGAAAGATGGTTTGATTCTAAATTCCTGCAGTTCTATTGGTGTAATGGACCCAGGTCTCTGCTTTAGAGTTGTTGACCCCAAACTAAGAAGAGATATATGCTGCAGGACAGAAATGAAAACAAAGCATAGTAAACCTTTCTCTCCTTAACTTTTTTTGGTCAATATAACATCTATGGATTGATTAGAATCAGACATCCTCAATCCTTGTGGGTCTGAGTGACAATTTACTTGTTAAATAGCTGAACTGTGGACAAATAATTGTTATTTAAATCTCCTTATTAGGAACATTTTAAAAATCACCTTAGTATCCCTTCTGCTTGCCTCTGAAAATTCAGTGCTTGATAGCAGAAGGGAAAAAAATTCTTTCTGCATGAATCCCCAGAATACTGGCAGAAGAGAACAGACTGCTTCCAAAGAACTAATTTCAAGTACATAAACAATCTGATTGGCTTGTGACAAAGGCAGTATCCTTGTATTTATTCCATTAAACAGGGGTTTTCCATTAAATTGGGCCTTCACTGTCCCATCAGTCTCTGCTGCTCCATTGCAGGACCAGCTCCGTTCTTCTTCCACTGACTCAAACCCCAGTCCCCTTCCTCCCCCACAGCAAGGTATCTTTGGGCCAAAGCACTAATTTCATGGCTGCTGAAAGCCCAACTCCTATCAATTTGGCCTGGATTTATTCAACTCTGATACTAGGAAATTATATGTCAGAGGGACATTAAGGTCGTATATTGTGAGCCTTATCCTATGTTTCTAACCTTCCTTCTGTGTCTGCATCTCTGACTGCCCAGAATTTTTTGTGTGTTTCTCTGAATTTCCAAATCACCTATAAAGTGCCCATTTCTCTTCTGCAGCTGCTCCCTGGTGTTATTTATAATAGGCCCAGGAGAAAATGTTCATTCAAATCGGAAAGAGATTATGTCAGAGAAGAGAGGGATTTTGCAATGCTATTTGGAGTTGAAACCTGTGACAAAAAAATTGTATGTTGAGCAAAGGCTATAGCAGAAGGTGACTATTGAGTGTTATGGCAGTCTAGAGAAAAGTGCTTCTCTAGGGTAATGGCAGGCCTAGGGCACTATTGAAAGTGTGATCCAAGAACTTCAGAAATTGATTGTTTTTATGTGAAAGAATTGTTTGGGAAGGAGCAATTTAAAGATTATTATCACTCATTCTTTTTTACAAGGGGTAGAATAATTAAATGAGTTATCTTTAAAGTAATATGACAAAGAAGTAGACACTTGAGAGAAATGAAAGCTTTCTATTTGATCTTGTCCAATCAATACAAACTCCAGGGGTCCCTGTTCAGTGAAGATTTTCAAAAGACCCCTGGCATTTTCACAAGCAGAACTCTGCTTTCTGAAATTTAACATAAATTCTGTAGCAACTGATGGATTTGTTTGCTCCAGAATACTGTCATTTGTTGTGAACTCTATATTTAAAAGGACTTTGGAATATGTGTGCAGAACTTAAGTAGGTAAATCCTTTGTTTCTAGAAGAACTAATGATGCTAGTAACAATTCAGAAATAGCTATAACTAATATTCTGCCTTCAATATCTGGGTGGATAATTCTTCTACACTTGCTATTTTAATATGAAGATCTGCATAATTCTTTACCAGTCTAAAACTATGCAGGTGCATGATTGATTCTAAGTTTCATTTCAGCTTATTTCTAAGTCTAAGTCAC